TAGAGCTCTAGCCTTGAGCTGAAGAGCTGAGGGACATGACAAAAAGTGGCCAGTTTTGCATTTAAATAGGACACATTTAACCATGTCCTAGGTACTGTATTGCCTGAAGTTAAGTGGCAGAGTCTGGCTTTGGAAGCAGAAAGATTTGAATTCTACTTCTACCTCTGTCCTCAGCTATGAGCTCAAAGCCTCTGTCTTCTCATGTGTAAAATAGGAATAATAGTAAGCAGGTTGTTAAAGGGTTGCTGTTAGGAAGAAATGATAATAGAGTCTATAGGTGTGACATATCAAAGGGGACCTACTAAATGGAAATACAGATTTTTGTAATGAAGGACTTATAAAACAGGAACAAGCGTTGAGTCTTAAATGTTAGTATATTGCACTAATGAGTAAGGGACAAGAAAGAATTGAATTGGCAAGAGCTTATATGCAAAACAGCTGTGGATTTTAGTTGACCATAAGTTGACTGTGAGTCAACAGTGTGATCTGCTTGCCTGAGGACTAATGAAATTTTGGATGACAGAAATAGAAATGCTGAGTTGTATGTCCTACAAAATGAAGAAGAGTGAGGGAAGAAGTGGGTTGGGAGGGATAAGTGAAAATATTGAAAGAGTGACATTAAGATATATTCATAAACTGCTTTGTTAAAAGGGAACTCCTTCATACAACCACTTAAAATGATTTTAATGTAAAAATAAAAAAAAGAAATAATTATAATACCCTAAACAAATAATTAAAAAAAAATCTGTGGTGGATATAGCATGTAATTTTCCAAAACCTTAAAAGAAATGCTGAGCTGAGATTTGAGGACGTAATTGTTTCATCGTCTTCTGGACTCTGGGCATGTCAGATCACTGCAAATGTACAGGCCTAGATCCTCCTAACAGTGTTTGTAGATGGACAATGACCAACTCACTGGCAAACTATGCAACAGTGGTAACCTAGACATTGGGAGGCATTGGTAAACTCTTTCTTGAGAATGAAGTGAAAATAGTCCAAGGAGGCAAATACCAAAGCAACATTTAAAACAGTTCTGTCTTCTAATGGAAATGGTGAGAAGACACACCCTACACTCAATCTGTCAGCAAGTCCTGTTGAATCTTTTCTCAAATTATATCAATAACCATTTCTCATTGCCTTTTCTGCTACTGTCCTGGCCTTAGCCAACTTTTCTTTCTGGGATCATTGCAACAGCTTCCTTGTAGATCTGTTTCCACCCTGGCACCCTCCACGAAGCAGGCTGGATGGCTTTATTTAAATCTATCTTCAGTGGCTTCCTATTTCATTCAGAGTGTAAGTCAAAGTCCTTAAAAGATCGACAAGGTCTTTCTTGGCTCTTTTCCCATTGCCTGTCATACTTCATCTCCTTTTGCTCTCTTCCTTGCTTACTCTGTTCAACCACACTAGTCTCCATTCTCACAGCTCTAGAAGCCAGCTAGTCATTCTCCTGTCACAGGGCTTTTGCACCTGCTGCTACTTCTGACAAGGACCCATATTACCTAAATATTCACATGGGCTCTTCCATCAGGTCCCTTAAATTATAACTCAAATGTCATCTCAAAGAAATCGTTTCAGTCATCCATCCTTTTAAAATTATCTGTCTATAAAATACACATCTCTAATGTTTTCTCTGCTTTATTTTTCATTATGGCATTTATCACCACATACTATTCCATATACTTTATTATTCATTAATATGATAGAAACTTTCTTAAACAACTATGCATTGTAAAATAATAATAATTCATCACTGATTAATATACAATTCATATCTGTTCCTTATATTAGAAAGGCAGCGATTGCTTCATCCACTCCTGTGTCCAGGGCCCATGTCTGTCACATTCAAGGCAGCCAATAAATATACAATAAACAGATATATAAGATGTATAAGAATATTGTTGTGGTTGAATCTGGCAATGAGTGAGGTAGGCATAAACTCCATGATCTTAGGAACCTAGATAATTGATCATTAACGGCATGAATATATTTGTAAATGAACATTGGCTGAACTCTCATGGTGCCACTGAGTGAGATTTAGTGGAATCAAGAAGGATAAACCCCATTTCTAAATTTTGTAGAGCTCTCATGTGTAAGGAGTGGATTTAGTCTGGGTTGCAACTTGAGCCCACATTAGAACCAGTGAATATAATGAGAATACACACAGGCAGATACAAGATGAATAGACCAATTTCCAATTTGAGATTCTCAAGTTGTTTCAATGAAATGGTTAGCTAGATCTATATCCTTTGACATGTACAAGAAGAGGCTATGTGTCTGTCAGTCAGTTTGGCTATAGAGGAAATCCTGTACTCGATGGGGAATTGTACCATACTACCATGAGAATCTTTGTAGCTCTGAGACAGTAGAGCCAAAGATGTATAAATCTAAACTCAGAGGCAATTTGCATTTCTGAAACTTGGGAGAGGTCTTTGACTTTTTCTTTTCAGAATCTCAGACACAAATTCCTTTGTCAAAGGTTCATTCCACCCAAATTGCGATTCCATTTCCCAGAAATTACCTGATGCTGGGCCGATGATTAGAGGCCAGCCAGGGGTAAAGGGACTGATTCCCATGGCAACCAGGTTGAAAAAAACCTGCCATGTGGAGAATTGTCAGCAACAGGCGACGTTTGCATTATAAATAGATATTTAATTCATTGAGATAGTTTGTGACGACTTTTGCATTATAAATAGATATTTAATTCATTGACATAAGTCTGACAGTGAGTAGGAAAGTTAAATCCCAAAGTTATTCTTTGTCTTTAAGTATTTCATTGTTAATTGACAACTATTTTCTTCCTTTTAATACATGGAGAACTTGGTTCTCTAAGTGCAAAAAAATGGTATATGTGTTTTTAGCAAGCCAAGTAACAGTCCGGTGTCACAATATTTCTTACCATTTGTTTCTCACAAATAATCTCACAAAAAGTCCATTTATGAGACTTTTCTCTGAGTACAGATGAGTGTCAGTTTGAACCATTTTGATACAGAAGAACCCAGGATCAATATTAGCATTTCACAAGTCTTTTTCTGTTGTGTTTATCTTTTCTTTTTAAATGTTTTTTATTGTAAAAATACTGTACAGAGGGGTTATAGTTACATGAGTAAGGTAAAGAATCCATTTCCTATCCAGCATTGTTACATCCTCCTTTGTTTTTCCCCTACCATCCCTTTCCTCTCCACCTCCCGACTCCTCCCTCCACCCCTCCCCCGAAATTCTAAAGTTTGTTTTCAATATAGTGTCTTCTGCATCTCATTGTTGCAATGGGTCAACCCGTATCCTTATTTCAGCATTTTGTGTTTGTCTTTTCTTCATTCTGCTTTTCTAACTTGCATGCTTTTCTAAATTCAGTTTTTGGCTCTGGGATCTGCCCATTTCTCTTCTATTTGATAAAGAGCTAAAGCAATAAAGTGATCACTTGCTAATTTACAGGGCTCTATCATTAGCCTTGACAATAAACACTCTGAAACATCTAAAGATCAGAAAACAAAATCCAACCTGATCAAAGGACTTTTATTCTAAAACCAAGGACTAAGGATGGGCCTCCTTCCAGTGTCCAAAATGCACAGCTTGATGGCTGGTTAGGGATCCAGAGTTTGGAGGGAGAGTGGTGTTCACCACAAAGCAACAATTAGTTTTGGCTAGATTCAAATGTAAAAGCACTTTTGAAATGCAATTTTTAGAAATGGTATAAGAAATTAGTATAAGCGACTAATAAAATCTCATCAAATGGAAATCAAAGTGGAACTTTGTACTTCTACATTCCAAAGAGCTTAATACAAATTAGCCCATAATACCCAGAGTGTTTCATTTTGTAAGGATAAAGGGAAATGGGATGCATTTTTGTTTCCCATTAACTTGCTGGGTAAATAAGCTTCCTAATGCAAGAATATAAGGAGTTGCTTTTGAAATTTTATTGAAGCCAGGGATAGATGAATCATTGTTGCTGAACTCTTACATATTGTCCTACAGATGTGTTTGCTTAGAATTAAACAGCTCTGGGAAGAGAGAAACTTTAGAATCATGAGTGAAGGGACCATGACTTCCTCTAGGACCCACAGACCAATTCTTATGAGGTCTTGCACAAAGTTCAATGAGGTAGGTAAGCCTCCCTACCCAATCCAACATCCTTAATAAGTGCTGAATCCTCACACATGGTGCTAAAGTGCATTTGGGCTGAGAATAAGAGCCAACTCCTGTTTGGGATCCTGGGAAAGAACACTAGGGGGTTCCATGCTCCCAATCACATTGGCTTACTCACTCCATTATTCCATCATTTGAGGCCCATAACTTTGGGAAAATGAGACTATCTTTAAGGAAAGCCCAAACAATCAGCTCTTATCAACCACTTATACTTAGCAATGAATTAATTTATATACTGTGATGGCTGAGGATCAAAAACATACTTTGCATGCTTTGAAGTTCTGCAGAGGGTCAATCTTACTGTTTGAAAGCAAGTGTGCTATGAACCTAAAAGTGACTTGGTGAAGGAAAACAAAATGTAACTTCAGCATTTGTCCTCTTCACACTCAACTTGAACAGGAAATTAGCAATATTCATTCATTGGCTCAATAATGAGATGGAAGGATAAAATGACCTCTGTTGAGTGACCTTATCTAAAGCCAAATTGCAAAGGGCTGTTATGGAGTCTTCTTTCCTCCTTCACCCCATCCTTGAACTTGGTCTCTATACTAGTAGTCGTGTGTCCTCATCATCTTTTACCATGGAGGTTAGCTCCAAAACACCAGTATTGTTAAGTGGTAAGTGGGCAACAGACTAATAGAAGAGCACTGCCATATTTTTTGCAGTTAAATAGTGAATAGGCTCTTTATTCAGAAGAATTCATTTTAATAGAATTTCATGCACCAGTCAATCAGCACAGTAAGGAGTTATAGGGGTGAGGAACCTCTCTCCAGGAAATATCTAGACCTAGTAGAGCATGTAACTCTCAGAATCCCATTGACACAACTCAGGTGATTAGAAGCCAAGAAGCAGTAGATAGAGCTAATTCTCAGGGTTAGCAGTCGGAAACCCAGGTCTCTGAGGGAAAAGATAGAAGAGGAAAGCTTTTGTAAAGCAGATTATTACACTGGGACTGACAGCTCCATGGCAATTCCCTGAGAGGTTGACGAGGGAGAATTGGTGGTGGTGCCCATTTCTCCTTCTTGGTTACACTCTTCAAGGACGATCGTCTGGTCTCTTCCATCCGTCTCCGAACCCCTGGGTAAAGAAAAAACGTATGAGTGATGGAGAAACCAGGTTCATCCACATGAAAATACATTGCATGCTGGAGCTCAGAGGCTACAGGAGGATTTGTTCCACTTGTTCCCAAAAGCACTTGATTTTCAGGAGTGTGAGATGAGCATTTACCTGGTTCGAAGTCGAGGCCACTTCTTCCATTCTATAGCTAGCACCACTCCCAAGGCTACCACAACCACCACAATGAGGCTACTTCGGACAATGTTGCCCACAGTGCACTCTTGAGCAGCAGGCCCTGTGGTAAATGACAGAGCAGAATCAATGGTCAGTGTGTCAATGTTCCCCTTGATCTCATCCCTGTCACTCTGGCATCCACAGGGTCACATGGGATCCATCAGTGGAGTCCCAGGTATATTATGCCAGCACCCTTCATGGAGGTGTTATCCACTTACCTGCTGCCCCCACCAGCTCCAGGGTATCACTGGGTTCTGACCAAATATCAGGGTAGGCCTGGAGACGGTAGCTGCAGCTATAGTTTCCGATGCCTTTTCCTTCTACATTGTTGATGACAAAATCCCCATCCTCTGAGAACTGCTGAGGAGCTTCTTCTCCCTCATGTTCTAATACAAATTCCACACCAGGAAGAGGTCCTCGGCACTGAAGGGTGATGTCCTTCCCAAGTTTGAACATGGTGCTGGGCCAAGCTGACAGAGAGGGTTTGGGAGGCTTGTCTGTAAACAGTAAGAAACACAGTTAAACCAAATGCCTTTAAACCTAGCCCTCTACCTCCTTACTCCTAACTGCTAAAAAGCCACAAAGATCTAAATGCTCATTGAAGTTCCCAGGATCTTACCAGTTACCCAAATCTCCAAGGTGTCACTGTGATTAGAAGCTGCAAAGGGAGCAGAGTCCAAATAATAAACACAGCTGTAGATGCCAGAATCTTCACTTCTCACCACTGGCATCCAGAAGTCAGCCCTGTACCCGTTAGACCTCTGGTGCTCAATGGGCTGGTGAGTCCCTTGCTTCAATAGGACAAATGTTGAGTCTGGCAGTTCCCCTTGACATTGAAGAGTTATATTTTCTCCAGGGGCCACCATGGGAGCAGGCTGGGCTAATAGGCTGGGTTTCGGGAGTAAGCCTGGAAGAAATTAACTCCTGGTTAGAGAGAAGAGGGCAATTTCCAGCACAGCACCCATGGTGCCTCTGATCCAAAGAAGAAAGAGCTTGCCCCTCTGTGAGCTATTTAAAAACCATGTCTCACAAACCCATCTTTTCCCTTCTTTCTCCACTCCCATGGTGGCCAGTTCAGAGTATCATTCCCTTACCTGTAACGATGAGTTCCAATGTGTTGCTAAGCTGAATCTTGACAGGGCTGGTCCAGTCAGGGTGGTAGCAACAGCTATAACGCCCTAAGCTAGCATCAGATATATTGGTGATGGGGAATGCTCCCTCAGTACTGGTGGAGCCCCAGAGCTGCATTGAAGTATTTTCTTCTTGCTTGTATAAAATGTACCCAACGCCATGGACTGGCCCTTGGCACCAGAGAGTAACATTCTGCCCCATTTGGACCACAGAACTGGGCTCAGCAAACAGCAATGGTTTGGGGAATGTATCTATAAAGAGAACAAATATGGACAATGGTGAGTATGGAAACTTGTCATTTTCCAAATTAACTCTTTTACGTAGACATAACAATTCTCCTCCCTGGTTTAGCTTAACCTTCTAAGAGTGATTACTCCCCACCAACCCTCCACAACCCGCTTAGCTCTTGCTCTATGTCCATTCCCAGTCTCATGACTTGATTGTCCTTACCAGTCACCCAGATCATTAGGGGCATACTGGGAGATGAGCCCCTGTTTGACATGGTTGTCTCGTAGTAGATACAGCTGTAATTCCCAGAGTTCTCTGCTTCAACTGAGTAGAGGAAGAAGTCAACTGCCTCTTCAGAGGCACTCTGGAGCTGTAAGGGCAACTGGGTTCCTTCTCGTAGCAGAGCAAACCTCATGCCCTGGAAAAGCCCTTGACAGCGCAAGGTCACATTCTTTCCAGGAAGCACCACAGGACCTGGCTGCACCACGAGAGTGGGCTTGGGGTAGTATTCTGAAATTATAAAAGATCACAACGTAAGAGAAGACACTCCCACAACATTCTGCAAATAGCTTTCCTAATAATTGCTTTTCCATATAATGATTATAAGAAACAGGTTATTTTTGCCAGTCGTGGAGCCTGAACTCTGGGCCTGGGCACTATCCTTCAGCTTTCAGCTCAAGGCTAGCACTCTACTACTTGAGCCACAGCATCAGTTCTGGCTTTTTCTGCTTATGTGGTGCTGAAGAATCAAACCCAGGGCCTCATGCATGCAAGGCAAGCGCTCTATCACTGAGCCACCTTCCTAGCCCAAGAAACAGTATATTTTACTGTAGAAAGTTAGAAAATATAGTTTAAATATCCCCAAGAAAACACAATGGCACCAACCCAAAGAAAACTATTTTTATATATTTATGTTCTGCCTGTATTTTATTCTTGCTTGTCCTTCTAGCTATAACTATTTATGTAGTTAAGACCTCACTGTGCTCACTGTTGGGTAGTCTAATATATTTCTCTTAACTTTATATTATAAACACTTTCCTATGACATTAAATAGCCTTTGAAAAACTGTCATTTGTAATGGCTGCATAACATGTAGCTGGCGTTTCAAGGTTTTCTACTGTTCTCTGAGGGCCATCCAACCCACCAATCTCTGGCAGTCTGGCTAAAGAAAGAGTGGACATTGAACCTAAAGCTCAAGGCCAAGCTTGAAAGATTTCAGAAATAGGGCAGCTCGAACTTGGCTCTTGGATTGGACACCCCCATCTGCCTCACTTCTTTCCTGGGAGTGAATTGCTTCCCTTCCCCACCTCTTTGTCTCCTGTTCCTGTAATAATATGAGCAGCTGTCCCACGTGGGCTGCTCACCACGTGCCAGGCACTGTCCTAAGCACTTTCTTAGTGTCCTTTAGAAAGAATGTTCTTCTTGCCCCAGCCCTTTCAGGATCCATACCATCTCCACCAGGATGCCCCCCTTCCTAACCTGTCACCACAAGCTCCACAGCATCGCTGGGCTGAGACCAGGTATCAAAGCCATAATAACGGCAGCTGTAGTTTCCTCCATCAGCAAAGCCCACGGAAAGGATCAGAAAGTGAATTGCACTGGCGCCTGGATTTGTCCAAGACCCATCACTGGATGCTATTTCACTGCCATCTTTGTACAGAATAAAGCTCATGTGCTGCTGGGGGGTGGAGCAATTGAAAGTCACCCGGGCACCAGGGGTGACCACAGGCCTGGCTTGTGTCTTGAAGAAGGGCTTGGGGTACATTTCTAGAAAGAGAGAAAACAATAGGACAAAACCAAGTTAAGAAAACAAAGCAAGCAAATGCTGCCAATGTTTGGTTCTAGAACAGTGCTCAGCCCTCTTAGGCATTTTCATTCAGTAACAGGCACTTTTAGAAACGTGGCGCAGGTGACCTCTCACCCTCTCCTCCCTCACTGCCCCAGGGAGAATTTGTCACTGGGACACAAAGGGAATGCAATGAAAGGGTAAACTGTCACTGGCACTCTGTCTGCTGATCCTCTGAGCCTCTTTGCCCATTTGGATCGGAGCAGGAAGTGGTACCTGCTCCACCTCCCTTGAAGATCGGCTCTCTAGTTAAGTGAGATAATTGATGAGAAAATAATTAGAAAAATTAAATCACCCTCTCCAAACGCAAGCTATTAATAACGATTACGGCTATTAATATCACGCAGCCAGAGGCCCTGCCTGACACTCCCAGCGCCACGCCTGCTTAGCTCTAAGATTGGACACAGGCTCCTAGGACCAGCAGCAAAGTTTGTGGACAGGAGAAGAGTGTTTGACAGGGGCCTTGCTTTCCCCTCCTCCCACACATCCTCTTTCAAGCTCTACCTTTTATGACCAGCTCCAGGGGCTTACTGGGTTCAGACCACTTGAAGGGGATCTTTGCAGTGTGCGTGCGGCAGCTGTAATTGCCTTGGTCTTTATCCTCCATTCTTTGGATAGTAAAGAAGGCTTCTCTCCCAACCGCACCAAGTTGCTGGACAGGTTCCTGCTCTCCCTCCTTATACAGAGCGAACTCCATGCCGGCCAGCCATCCTTTGCACCGGATTTGCAGTTCCTGACCCCGCACTGGCGGGGGAGCCGAAATAACAGGTTTGGGGAGGATGTCTGAAAAATGAAATGAATGAGGTTGCAAAGGAATTAAAAGTTTAGTCGTGCCCAGATGGGACACTCGAAGTGACTTTGTCAGGAAAAAAGAAAAAAAGCTATCTTGGCTTGTAAAGTCTTCTCTCACTGCCTCCCCTCCCCCAGCCCTGTGCCCCTGTGGCCTCCCAGCATTTTGGAGTCACAGAGGAGCAGCAGATCACCCCGGGGGAAGATCCTCTGGCGTTTCTTACCTTTCCCTACTAGCTCAAGGGCTTCACTGGGCTCAGACACAGCCATCTCCTCCCATGAATGGCAGTGGTAACTCCCGGTGTGGCTCTGGGTCAGGGCGCCAAGGGGGAAGGCAGCTCGGACCTGCTCAGAGGCAGGACGAGTTGCTATCCAACCGGTCCCGTCCTTCAGCAACACAAACTCCTTAGTGGAGCCAGAAGGGCTTCTGCACCACAGGGTTAAGTTCTTCCACGGGGCCAGAGGGAAGTTCGTCTCTGCCCACAGCTCAGGCTTGGGGGTTGGCGTGATTATTTCTAGAAACAGCAGGGTTAATGAAGCCATTCTCTCTTCTTCCAGCTCTCCCTCCTTTCCTTGCCCTTGACACACTCCCACCACCAAAACACCACCCCCCCCCACAATCAACACAGCACATTGTCCCCTTTGAACTCAAACCTGAATCCCTCCTTTCCTCCTTCCTTGCTTCCTTTTCTTAGGTACTGGGGAAAGGGGGAAGCAGATGCTTCAGCTGAGACTGAGTGCAAAAGCTTTTTTTTTTGGGGGGGGTAGGTGAGGTTGCAGGCAGAAAGGCAGAGTTGGAAGCTGCATTTTGCCAGCAGTTTTAGCAAGTGCCCCTTCCTGGCTGTCCTTTCCTCCCAACCAGTGGCTCTGTGCACACTGACACTGTCACTCTCTAGTTATTTCAGATCTCCAGAAAGGAATGTCCCAGTCTGGAACAGGAAAAACTCACCAGTCTCTTCTGTCAAGACACCATTGCACAGTCCTGCAAAAGAAACTGCTGCCAGGGCTCTGCCCCCTCCTCCACAGGCCTTTACCCCGGCCTTCTGCCCAGGCCCCTTCTCCAGCCTCTTGTACTCACCACAGCAGAGAATGGCCGTGACTATGAAGAGCATGGTGACCCCTTGAGCTGTTCCCAGCAACCAGGCTTCTCTAGGGAGACCAGAAAAGAGATGAGAGGAGTTGCTGGGATTAAGGGGAGGGCGGAGAGAAGGGGGCGGCAATTTATGTCATTGGCTTGCTCACTACCCAATCAGGATTGGGTATAGCCAGGATAATGGGACCTAATCTTTTCTGACATCGTTGACTTTTCCCTTTGAGGGCCTAGCCACCTAAAAACTTCTTGCTCTTTCATGACCCCTCCCCTCTCCCCAGCCTATATCGTATATCAGTTCCCCATGGCCCCTGATTAGGCTGGTGCTGGAGGTGAGATGTCAGATGGGAAAATGCTTTTTTATCTCTAGCTCTCAGGACTCTTGGAACTCAGTGTGATCAGCAGCTCTGAGTGGTGGGTGTGAGGATGGAGTATTTCTCCATCATCGAGTTTAAGTTTGGAATCAGTTGTTCTTATGGCAGTGTTGGTCCTTAGACGGACCTGCCTCACCTTGTTATGGAGGGGTTGCCAAGGCAGCCGTGATGAATTACCAGAAGACTGTCAATGCTAAGCTAAGCTTGTCGGAGTGGGATTTCCCCTCCCCTGACCCAGATTATGACTACAAATGTGCAGCAGCTCTAGGGTATGGTTCTTACGGAATTAGCTGCTAATAAGCCAAAATCCACTTCATAATTTTCAGTTAGAAAACACTGATCTCCCTCCACTGCCCCCTCCCTGCTACTTGTCAGGAAAACATGCTTTTTTAAGTTGCTTTCTCCCAAACCTGGCTTCCTTTCTCTCTATCTGACTTGCTCTCACTTTCTTTCTCTGAACACAGGCCCTGGGCTGACTGGGCCATTATAATACTTTTTCAAATCCTGCCTTGGAGGTTAACTTAATATGTATAGGACACAGGACAAAATCTGAAACAAACTGAATTTTGATCACATGGAAACTTTTTGAAACAAATCAAGTGGTGTTTTTTTAAGAAGCCTTAGGCGCCCCTCCCCCCAAGCATTCTGTCCCTCAGACCCCAGTGGAAAACACAGACACACATCATCATAGTCATCATCCATTGTGTATTGAATATTCTGAGACACACAAAGGTGGCAGAAGAGCATAGCCAGAAGCAGGGGGTGGGGGAAAAGTAGGCAAAGCATTCAGGAGGTGAGGCTTCCACCAGGTTATGAACTGTCATTTTTCTTGTCCTTCCTAAATGGAATAGACAAACCAGGAGGATCAGGGACAAAATTGGATAGCCCAGAGGACACCAAAGGATCAGAGGAAATTGCAGGAGGGTCTGTCTGGTTTGTCCTTTTCTTAGTCAGAGGAAAACGTCTGATTCTTGGCTCCATCCATTGCCTCATCAGGTTAAGACTCTATTCCCAGGATGCTCTGCACAGGTGGTTGGAGGCCAGTGTGGCAGGGAGACAGGTTTCTAAAGCAACTAGGATGAACCACAAGGCTCTCTAGCCCTTCAGCTGGAGGTAAGGGCAAAAAGTTGGAGTTGTATAAAGACCTTAGATACAGCATAGCACAGCTTGTTACAAGAGAACAAATCCAGAGCACGTTAGTAAGGGGAGCCAGCAATCATGTCTGAGGGACAGGATGGTATCCAGGAAAGGGGAAAGGTGTTAGCACTCCAGGAGGGGTGGGGCTCCTGGAGGGGTGGGGTCAGTCAACGTGCTTCTGATTACTTCTGTAGCCTCTGAGATTTATGCATCTCTCCACCCTCTGGCTTGGGTGATGACCCTTCTGTGAGGTGAAAGAGAAAGACCTGGGTTGAGAAAGTTTTGTCTTGTAAGCCTGGAGGGGTGAGGGGAATACATAGGGTTTGCCCACTAGAGCCTGTCTCAACCGAAGAGTGACCCATTCTTAAAACTTAAAAGTATAGACTCAGTTAGCTGGAGAAAGAGGGAGCTGGGATGAGACAGTTACCTGATTCTGAGTCTCCTACACTTCCACCTTATCCACAGCACTATCACCAGCAAGGAAACAAACTGCATGATTAAGGACATCCGGATAGCTTCATTCAGAACATAATTCCAGGTGAGAATTCCTGTGACCAGAGAAGACCAGAAACAGGGGCCTTGATGGGGACAGGGCAGGTGAGTACATTCATGGGCTAAGAAGCTAGTTGCTGAGATGACTTCTATTGGGAAGGGGGGGGTGGGAGTGGCCTTCCTTTTCCTGGAACAGGGGACCCTTGACAGTATTGTGCTTACAATTTTGGGGTGATTGTCAGATCACTCCAGGGGGATGGCTCCCCAAATCAAGGGTCCTGGTTTCCCAGCTCCTCAATCCCCTTCCTGTATCTTTCTGGGCACTGCTTTGGGATCTCCAGAGCATGGGGATAATCATTTCACATTCCTGTGTGGGGGGGGTTATCATCTTACCTGTTGGCCCCATCAGCTTCAGAGGCTCACTGCGATGTGACCAGATATTAGGGTGTGCCTCGACCCGGTAGCTGCAACTGTAGGTCCCCGTGCCTTTCCCTTCAGCATTAGTGATGATGAAGTCTCCATCCACTGAGAACTTCTGGAATGTTCCACGTTCTTCCCATTCCAGAGAAAATTCAAGTACTGGATGAGCAACTCGGCATTGTAGAGTGATGGTCTTTCCTAGCTTGAACACAGTGCTGGGCCAAGCTGACAGGGAAGGTTTGGGGGGCTTATCTGAAACCAATTCAGAGATCAGACTGAGAAATGACTTTGAACACAGTACACTTTCCCCCACCAAATGCTTCTGAGCTCTCCATTTGGTCTTAACTTGCTTTTTACTCCAAGGTTGGCTGTGCATTACATTCCTTTGCTCTCTCCATGGTGCTCTTCAGATTTCTGTTTCCTAACTTCAACTGTGAGACCACACATTCATAAGCTCCCTGGCTAGAAGAAGAAGAACTTTCCCACAAGACAGAGTTGGGCTGAGCTATGCTTAGTGGTAGGGCTTGAGGAACAACCCCGAGAAACAAGATCTCCAAAGGATTTAGAGAAAATTCTATACCACCCTCCTAGTGCTTTATCCTTGACTCCTAGCTCTAAGAGAGTGCTACGGATTGCTAGCCTCTTCTTAGACTACTGTAATGATGGAAAAATAAACAGGATTATGATAATAATTTTTAGTACTTGCCTACAACCACAAGATCCACAGTGTTGTGTGTTGCCATCTTAATGGAAGTCTTCCAGGTGAGGAAATAGTGGCAGCTATAGATGCCAGCATCACTGTAGGTCACATTATTGAGGAAGAATGATTTGTTGTCACTGATACTGGAGGCATCCAAAAATTGAAGTGGTTTGTCTTCTCCTTTCTTGTAGAGAGCTAGTCCCACTCCATCCACTGGTCCTCGGCATCGCAGGCTCACATTCTGACCCATTTGGACCACAGGACTAGGCTGAGCAAGTAGCCAGGTCTTGGGGAAAGTATCTAGGATGAAACCCAAAATACGGTCTGACTTCCCCCTCGGACTAGTTAGTGTTCTTTCCCTCCTCCTCCAGCCTACTTTTGGTGAATCCCTCCCTAAGCCCAGTTATACAAAGTCTGTACCTTTCTCCATTGTTAGCTCTAGCTGCATGATAAGATTCTCCAGGGAGACCCAAAGGGAGTTTTATATCCTTCCCCTCTAGATATATTCCATGTCATTCCCTTCTCTTACCAGTTACCCAGATTTTCAGGACATCACTAAGGAGTGAGCCTCTGTATGAGCCATCATAGTAAAAACAGAGGTAATGTCCAGTATCACTGATCTTCAAAGACTGGAAGAAGAAAAATGCCTCATTTTTTATTGATTTCTTGTGGTAAAAGGAACTCTCCAAATCTTCAACTCTCATTAAAGCAAAAGTCATTCCATATATTGGCCCTTGGCACCTGAGACTCAGGCTTTCTCCAGGTGCCATGATGGGCCCAGGATAGGCTGTCAGAGTTGGTTTGGGGTAGAGTCCTAGAAAGGGAAAAAATCCTGAAGTTAGAGGTAAGATGATTGCTCTCTGTTCTTTTTTTATATTTTTTTCTTTGTTCTTTGGACAAAGAGTAGTAGTATGAAAAACTACCCTTTCCTCCCTCGCTCTTCCTTGTATCTCTGCCTCCTCTAGCAAGTAATCATTTATGTCACTTCCCTCTCACTGCACTGTCAGCTCCACTGAGATCTAGCTCTGTGTAGGTGTGTGTTCAAGTGGAATATCTACCCTTATAATTTCCAGTATCTTCAGGATGGACAGATTTTTTTTTTTGACCTGAGAAACCAAACCTCTATGAAACAGTTTGATTCCATCTTGCAAGCATTGTAGTATTAAAGAAGAGCATGTGAATGCATTCAGCTCATCTAAAATCCTATTTCTAACATGAACTTGGAGGCCAACAACCAGGGTTTAGCTAACAAGTCAGTAGCCCAGTGAAATCTCTGTTAAAACTGTCCCACATTCATTTCTCTTGATTGTTCCTCTAAGGCGATTATACTATAAAAATGAGGTCAACCTCACCCCCATACCATTCCTTCTCACCCCTATTACAATCCTAGGAATAGCCACCCAATCCATTGTGGAACATTTAGGATACATCAGACATCCCATAGGTCTAGGTGTAAAGGGTAAAGAAGACAGTCCCTACTAATAGAAACTTATGAAATAGAGGAGAATATCAAAGAACAGGTAACTACAGAAGTGTGTGTTGGTGAAACCTATGCTTGAAGAGTATGTGTGCAATAAGCATCCATACACGCAGGTCCAACGGGCAGTCCTTTTTTCTTTAATCCTCCACAAAAAGCTACACTAACAAATTAGTATCTGCCATTTATCGAGAACTTATATGCCAGGCACTGTACATATATTAAACTTAGAAAAATCCTCACAACAACCCTGTGAGGTAGGCATTATTCTTAGACCAATTTTGCACATCAGGAAACTGAGGCACAGAGACACATGATACAATAGGTTGGATAGATATTGTTATTGTGTGTTAGAGAGGAGGAACCCAAAATGTAGAAAAGTAAAGTACTTGCTCAAGCTCATACAGAAAGGCAGTGTCAAAGGTGGAACTAAAAACTGGGGTTATTTTTTGTAGCACTACAGTTTTTCTTAGCTTGATGTAGGGAGTGTTGTAAATCTGGATAATGCCATTTAGAAACATCCAGGCCATGGGGTAGGAGAGTTGGGGTTGGAGTGTGTGTCTGGAATTTGAATATTTGAGGGGGGACGTTTTCTGTGTTTACAGCTTGGTGCTGCCTTTGCTGGTTTTACCCAAGTACTTTATCAAGTCACTTGAAAGCTATGACCTGTTACTTTCTTTGTCCTTTGTTTTGTGTGTGTGTGTGGTAGTTGTTTTTGTTTTTCATCCCCAGCTCTAGCAAATTGTTCTGTTTCCCACACCTCAAAATAATCATTGTGAGTCAAATACATTTTTTAAAAATTAAAAATCAGTTTTGAAGATTGCAGTGGCAGTGCCTGGCACATATTAGGTGCTCAATAAATATTTATTGAACAAATGAATGAGTGATATCCAACAACTTAAGAACAACAAAGTTACAATGAGATAAAGCTGCCAGACAGTTGCCTGGGCTTACTCACTAACCAAATGATTAGCTCCCATATATTTGCCTTGAAGCATGTGTGATTCTAATTTACATCTCAGGGCCTAAGACCTGGCTGAGGAAAGCAAAACTCCAGACCCAAGCTCAACGAGTCATGATCCCTGGGATAACAATTGTCAGATGCCAGCAGCCATGGCCACACCCACCTGCTACAACCAGCTTCAGTGGGTTGCTGGGCTCTGACCACAGGGTGGGGAGCATCTGGATGTGAGTGCGGCAGATATAAACCCCTTCATTCTCAGGTGTCATGTTGTCAATGGAGAATATAGCCATTGTTCCAGTTGGAACTTGGTAATCCACTGGCTCTGAATATCCCTCCTTAAACAGCATGAACACCAAATCTTGCAACCAGCCATGGCAAAGGATGTTAACACTACATCCAGGAAGAGGAGGGGTTTCAGCCTGGATCCAGAAGATAGGCTTGGGCAGCTGGCCTGGAAGGAAAAGATGAACTGGAATTAGATTGAATTCGAACAATGCTGCCCAGATGGCAACAGAGAAGAGCTCTGCTTGAAACAGCTCCCCTGTATGATTCTCATTGGTCATTCTACTTCTCGTGCTCTGTTCCAGAGTCTATATCCTCACTGTGCAATCCTAATACCCAAAGAACACTTATTTTTTTTAAGGGCCGAATATATATATGCATAAATGAATGAATGAATGAATGAATGAACCAAGCCTTGCCTTAGGAAGGCAAATTTGAATCAAGAACTGGGGCATATTCTCAAGCCATCTATCTCTCTCTTCTTACCTGGTGCCTCTAATTCTAGCACTTTACTTGGCTTTGACCAGGTTGTCTCCTTCCAATAGCAGCATCTGTAAAGACCTGTATTGGACTCTGTGAGGGCACCTAAGAAGAATGACACTTGGAAGGTCTTGTGGAAAGGGCGGATCCAGGTCATCTGTGTGGTATCCTTCAGCAGCAGGAACTTGCTGGATGTCCGAGAGGGGCTTCTGCACCAAAGGGTGATGTTCTCCCAAGGGGCCTGGGGATAGTTGGACTCGATCCACAGCTCCGGTTGGGATTCCATCGCTGCCATTCCCAAAGATCACAAAGATATGAGCATGCCAACCCTCTCCCTCCCACAGTGTACCCCCACAGGGTACTTTAAATCTGCCCTCAGGCAAAGCTTTCCTTTTGACCTCCCTAGGGCAAAGGAGTGTCTGCTCATGTGGAGTGTAGGAGAGGGACCCCAGAATATTGGTTTGGGAATCTAAATGACAAATGAGCTGGAAACTAAAAGTGCAAATAAATCTCACCACTCTTCTTGGAAAACCAAGTCATGAAGGGAGGGGCACCCCAGTCTCTGTTTGGGATCTCAAGGTGGTGATGGTCAAGGTCATATAGGCAGAGCAGTGTTTTGGATCCTTCAAGAAGGAAGGTATGTGAAGGAGTGGAATTTGCTTACCTGTGTAGGTCATACCCATACTCAGCCCTGAAAAGAGAGACTATGGTGAAAGGAGCCCCTCTCTTTGTTACCTTGCCCTCCAACCTTAAATACCCTTCCCTTCCTCCCAAGGAGCCCACTGTGAGGAGTAACTGTGATAGAGTCACTTAACTGTCACCTCTTCCTTATACTCACGAATGCAAAAGAGCAGGAGAATGAATTTCCGAAGCATGGTAGTCATCTCCCCGGGTCTGTCCAGGGTCACAGGGCCTCTAGAACTGGATGTGTACTTGGAGTCTTGAAGTGTTTTGCTCCTCAGCAGGTGGTGGGATCTAAAAGCAGAACTGTTCTTACTCAGGGACTTGTTCTGCTCCTTAAAGTTCAGTTGACATCACTAAACTGCACTTGACAAGCCTAAATTCTATTTTGGCATAGGCACACATAGCCTTACAAAGCCACCTGCTACTTCCTCTTTGGGCCCCAGATACTTATTCCCTATTTCCCCACTGAAGATTGTTGCTGGCTTTTATTTAAGATGTCATTTCTCTTGTCCCTAGGATCATGAAGGTTCAGAAGGTGACCTAATCCAAGTCTGCAGAAGTGGGAAATACAGGAGTCATTTTTTCCAATCTCCTACACCACACACACACACACACACACACACACACACACACGCACACGCACACACACACGCACATACACCCCACACACATGTCCTCTAACAACTTAGCAAAGGAAACATTTACATCCCATGTTGTTGATGAGGAAAATGAAGTGTGGAGAGATGTAATAAAAAAGATATTATTTAAAGCAAAATTCAAATCTATGTTTAAGGCCTATATGCTAAAACTTATTCAACTTCTACCCGTGTCCACCTTCATTCTCCCTCGGTCTTCCTAAGAATCCATGAAGATCTGACCTTCCATGAGGTGCTTCAGATCTCAATTACAATTTTAACTCCAGAAGCTCAATACTCCCTTCTTAAGTAGGTATTGGAGAATCAAGCTGTTTATATTTAATTAATATAAATTATACGTGATTCATTGACTGCCCATCACATTGAACTAGCTTTGTTTACTGCCCCTAAGGATATTGGATTTAAGGAATATAGAAAAATATTTGAAATCAGAGAGGGTTCTGGTTTTCTAGAAAGTCACTATTAACTATAGTCCCTGAACATATGTAAGGTGGGTCCCTGAGCATTTATGCCTCCCTCCTCACCCCCCCCCCCCCAGTAACCTGTTGCTAAGGGAAAGTGTGTCTTTCCCACATAAACTCAGGCTAAGTGTCCTCCACTAACCTCTGTTCAGGATGTGAAGTCCTGGCTGACCCCAGGTACATGACCTTATTTCCGTAAAGAGGGGAAGGGACAGCACCCAGAACAGAGAAAGGGGCTAGATGATTTTGCTTCCCCAGATGGATGCTAACACCCCAGGGCTAATAGTTACCCTGATGGAGGAGCAAAGAGGAATGAAGATTCATTTTCAAAACCTCTGGGCTATGGTGGTGGACAGCGAGATATCCAAGAAGAGCAGAACTCCATTTTGCATTTCTTACTTTGCATTGAAGAATACTTAATATTTCTTTTTGCCCTCTCCAAACTTTTCTTATCTGTTAAATGAAGGAGCAACATGGACCCAACACTGCTGTGTTGGATTAGAGAAAATATATGTACAGCTACAGGAATTTAGGGAACATTTCATGTAAAAAGGTGATGTTTTTCTCCCTTTTTTACAAAAGGGGCATTCAAGTGGCCTAGGATCCTAACGACAGTCTTCCCATCTCAGTTCCTTCTCTACTCCTCTCAGTGCCTGGCCAAGGCTTGGATGCCACCCTGTTGCTTTGTTCCCCTGAGGCACTGGGCCAAACTCTATTGGGGGAAGCTGCGATTTCTGCCAAGGGGAAGGTTCAACCTGGGATTCCAATCAGGAAATGCCATCTGAGGTTCCAGTCTTACCACATGGACCCCCAAAGCAGAATCTTTCACTAAGACAAGTCATGAAAACTAGCTTTCTCTGTACAGATGACCATACCTCAATCACTAAGGAAATTATCCTATTCATATTTGGCCCAAATGATGAAGCTTATGTCCTGGGCATGTGGGAATAGCTCTAAGCTTCAGGTTACTTGGTCACGCCCACCCCCACTCTCAACTTGGACTGTCGAGCCATTTGCTCCCCCCACTCCTTCCTCCCTCCCCCCCCCCCCGTTTCTACTTCATCCCAAGCACTTTCCCCACCCTTAGGCAGCGCGCCGCAGTGCTTTTGAGGGTGACATATCCGAAATGTCTAATGGCTCGCCCCCTGCATAGCTTTGAGGGCTCTTGGAATCAAAGAGGTTGGGCTGGGCAGGGGGTATCGGGTATATACTCCGCTGAGGGTTTGGAGGGAAGACTGAGAAGGGAAAGGGAAGGTTGTCAGGAGAGGCAGGACTGGGATCCGGGGAGGGAAGAAGAAGGCAAGGATGGAGGGGGTAGGAGGACAGATTGGGCAGCAGTTTGATTTACAGCAATTAATGACAACAGGGAGACTCTTTTAGGGTTTTGCTTAGGGTCTGGTGGCCAGTAATTAATCTTCAGCTACTGGACTTATGCGCTCATTTGCAGGTACTTACGGTAGTTGAAGGCCCGCTCCGCTGTTGGAGATTCTCCAGTGAGCTCCTCCAGATGCAGCAAACTGCCCCGGCGTGAGAAGAGCTGTCTAAGGCCAGCCTCTCGGGCTCCAAGCCCCGCCTCCCTCTCTCCCCCGCCCGTCCGCTGGCCCGCCCCAACCTCCTCCCCTCCCTCACTGGGCTCCGGAGCCCACCTACATCAACTCTGCCTAGCACCTGCAGTCCTCTGACGAGCAGGGTTTCTATGCCCCTCCCAGCGCCCCGCCTCTCTCCTGGCTCCCGGCAGATAGTCAGCCAAACTCAGTCCCCTGCCCCCTGCCTGTAGCTCAGTTTCATTGGGTCTCTATATCCTGGAGGGCCAGCTCTTAAGACAGCCAAAGCTGTAGATCTTCCTCTCCCAATGCCTTTAAAGGGATCTCAGTTCTTCCTCTGCTCATTCTTTGCCCAATGTATTCCGAAACATTGCCACATCATAGTTTAAATGCCTACTATGTGACTCCGGCTCTGAGCATGTATTATTTCTAGTCTTCACAGTAATCCTGAAAGAGCACTGGTTCTTCTGCCACTTTTTGCAGATGAGGAAACTGAAGCTAAGACAGAGTTAAAAAACTTGGCCAGTCTTCAAAGTTCAGCATGACATATAGCCTAGGCTTTCTCCAAAAAGATTTTTCCTAATTGAGATTTGAGTTCAGGCTCCACATTCAATAGCTGTGTGACCTTAATCAGGTGACTTCAATTCTCTGAGCCACATTTTCTCCTATCTTTAAAATGAAGAAAACAGCAGAACTTAGACTACAGGACTTTAATGGGTTAATTCAAGGAGAAGTCAAAACACAGTAGAGTTGGCACACAGTAGGTGGTCAGTAAATGGTAGCTGCTGCTACTGCTTCTACAAGTATTATTAACCTATAAAGCCTTCCTTAGCCACCTAACATCATCATGATTTTGACAATGTACAACGTGGTGCAGTTTTTGTTGACCATGGTAGACATTTTTCTGTTTTGTTTTTCCAGTCCTGGCACTTGAACTTGGGGTCTGGGCTCTGACCCTGAGCTTCTTTTGCTCAAGGTTAGCACTCTACCACTTGAGCCACAGTGCCACTTACAGCTTTTTCTGTTTATATGGCATTGAGGAACCCAGGGCTTCATGCATGCAAGCACTCTATCACTAAGACACTTTCCTAGCCCTTTTTGCTTGTTAATTTTAACTCACTGTCTTACTATGCAGCTTTGACTGATCTCAAATTTGTGATCCACCTGTCTCAGCTCCCAGGGTGCTGGAATTAAAAATGTGCACCACCACAGAGCTACAAAAGACTTTTTAAAATAATATTTTATGAGTGAGACAATAACCAAGGCTCTTGACTTATAAAATGTGATGGGATTAAAGACAAAATATGTATAGTCAATTCTTCTTTCATCTGAATTTTTTCTTTTCATAAGTGAACATAAGTTATATAATAAAAACAGGTGAATTTAAGAAGAAACTATGTAAAATAAATTATCAAAGTGTTTTTGTTGTTGTTGTTATTGCTGTTGTTGCTGTGTGTGTTGGTGCTAAGGCTTGAACTCTTGGTTTCTTACTTTCAGCTGACACTCTGCAACTCGAGCTATGCCCCCAATCTAGCTTTATTTGCCAGTCAGTTGGAGAAAGAATCTCATGCCCAAGCTGGCTTTGAATCTCAATCCTCAGATCTCAGCCTCCTGAGTAGCTAGGATTACAGGCAATGGAAGCTGTGTGGGTGAGAATCTCACTTGCTCCAGCCTTCTGCTCTGGTTCATTACAGAGTCTTGAAGGAAATTGTCATTCAGGCTTCAAAAGCACTGGTACAAGTCAGTGCTTCTTAACAGGCCAATTGAATATCATATCTTCATGTATCAAGTATTATCATTTGTGGCTTCCTCTCACTCTCAGCTGGCTTGTACACGGCATTTTAAATCCCAGATTGTTACATAATGATTAAAATAGCCTCATAAATATAAATGATTGTTTTTTAGACAAGTCATTTAACCTCTTGAACCCTAATTTTCTTATTTGTAGAA